TCTGCGGCTCTTGCTGACTGTCAGGGTGACGAGACAAGGCGTCCGCATTCTGATGAGATCGGCCTCTCCGATGTATGATGGAAAACGTGTATGCATGAAGTTCAACCATCCAACGGGCTCTACGACCAGTTGCATCATCCTGGATTGGTAGCTTGCCATAATTGAGTAATGGCTGGTGGTCAGTAACCACATTGAAGTGTAGGCCCCTCAGGTAATGTCGAAAGTGTCGTACGGCGGCTACGATGGCCCATAGCTCTCTATCATATGTAGACCATCGACGTTGTGTTCGGCTTAGAGTAGAACTGAAGTAGGCGATCACCCTTTCCTTGTCGTCGATTGTTTGAGACAAGACGGCTCCCACAGCATCATTCGATGCATCCGTAGCAAGCTTGAATTCCCTCTCGAAATCTGGGTAGGCGAGTATGGGCGGGGTGGTTAGTGCCATCTTCAGTTGTTGAAAGGATGCCTCACAATTCTCAGACCAACAAAAAGGAACATTCTTCTGCGTCAGCTGAGTAAGTGGGGATGCAACTTGAGAGAACGAGGGAATGAACTTTCTGTAGTAGGACGCCAATCCGATGAAAGATCGCACCTCTTTCACATTCTTAGGGGTTCTCCATTTCTCAACTTTAGCGACATTGGCCGGATCTGGTAGTGTACCATCTGAACTAATGATGTGGCCCAAGTAAGCAACTTGCCTCTGAAGAAACTCGCACTTTGATGGTTTGAGTTTCAGCCGGGCAGTGCGAAATCGCTCAAAGACTTCTGCTAGATTCTGTAGATGTTCATTGAAGTTCCTGCCAACCACTATACAGTCATCGAGGTAGATGAGACACTTAGACCAGTGTAGGCCGTGGAGAGCTACTTCCATTATCCGTTGAAATGTCATTGGTGCATTGACAAGCCCAAACGGCATAACATTAAAGTGATAGAGGCCGGTTCCTGTCGTAAAAGCCGTCTTCTCTTTGTCGTTGGGATGGAGGGGAACTTGCCAATACCCGCTTGAGAGATCCATGACGCTGAAGAACTTTGCTGAGCCCAGAGCATCTAGTGAATCATCTTGACGAGGAATGGGATGTGAATCTCGTATGGTGATGGCATTGAGTTTGCGATAATCAATGCAGAACCGGAAGGAGTTGTCCTTCTTCTTTACCATCACAATAGGGGAAGACCAGGGACTGTGGCTCTCTTCGATGATGTTTCTGTTCAAGAGGTCATCGACCTGGCTTTGTATCTCTACTCGTTTGGCTGGGGATGTACGATAAGCTCGCTGGGAGATCGGAGTGTGAGTAGTCGTATGGATCCGATGAAAGGCGAGATCTGTGTGTCCAATATCATCAGGTGTGAGACTAAAGATGTCAGCATACTCCTGAAGCAACTTCTCTGCTTCTAGATGCTGGGTTTCCGTGAGACCCGAAGAAGGAAGAAGACGCGAGGTATCAAGCCGTTTGTCTGTTTCGGAAATAGCAGCTACGACAGGCTCCATTATCTCGTACTCTTCCCGGCGACTGCCTGTAATGGAGTGGAACTGGCCGAGGGGAGTGCTTGCGGGCAGAATAGTGGTATCCAGTGATGGATTAATCAGTCTTACCAGGATGTGACCATGTTGTGCTATACACAATGATCTGGCTGCTGCTATTGACTGATAATCAAAGAGCTGAGGCTCGAACAGTCCCTCATGTCCATCTGGGGTGATACCATGTGGAGGCGTTATCCTAGCTTGGATGTTGATCTCGGACATGGGAGGAAGGGTGATCTCTCCAACTGAAACAGCAATGCATGTGATTGGAGCAGTGCTCGTGTTATCTACCAATGGAATAGATGTCCCCGGCATCTCCAGAGTAGCAGTACTAGCGGAGATCGAGGCTCTGTTCTGACAGAAGAAATCCCATCCAAGGATGAGAGGGTGACTAATGTTTCTGGCAACACGTAACTTGTGTTGAACATGTGTATTTCCCAGATGTAAGGAGACTGAGGCTATCCCTAATGTGTCTATGCTTTGCCGTGTAACAGAACTAGCATTGAACAACACTTTCTGAAGTGAACCTCTCTGCTTGGCTGGTATGTCGGACCACAGCTTGGTATCGATGAGTGAAATCTGAGCTCCAGTGTCCAAGTAAGCCAGAGCATAGATAGTCCCTACCATTACTGGAACGTAAGGGCGTATCGATATCTGTTTGACTAAGTTTTGGGCCTTGGACTGGGAAGTTGCTGACCGACCCTTATCGGCAACTAGTAGAAGTTTCCCTGAGTCCCAAAGTGTACTCGGCGGGGACTTGGTGATCGTGGTCTGTCCCTGTCGTTGTAGTATGGACGATCACGTGACTGCCCTCTCTGTTGATATGAGTCCTGGTAGGGGGCTCTTCCATCCTGCTGGGGCCTGTTCGACGGGCTGGATGGACGACCATGGCTCGGACTGGATGGACGGAGGGGGTGCCTAGGATGAGGACTTGGTGATCGATAGCGTTGTGTAGATGAAGACTCATAGCGTTGTGATGGTGAGTGGTAGCGCTGGGGGAACGCTGGTCATACCTCTCAGAGTACCTGTGTTGAGGGCTCTGTGATCTTTGCCTTGCAAAAGGGCTACGTGAATGATGAAGGTTGAGAGTACTGAATTGTGATTTCAGCCTTTCGACATCATCGTCTTTAGAGCGGCGATGGCTGAGTTCGGCTTCCAGGCGGTCAAATCTCTTGTCCACTCCATCCAGCCGGTTGACAAGTTGCTGGAGGAGATCCTCTTGCGTGGCTGCAACACACGTGTCTGGCTTGGGAACCGTGGCATGTCCTAGCTTGTGGGCTCTTTCAACCCGAAGAGCAAGATCTCGGGCTTCCTTGAAAGTTAAGGCTCCAAGCTCATGAATGCGAATTTGGAGGAAATTACTCAGACCGGCAACAAATCTACGGAACTTCTCTCCCTCTTGAGCCTTTTCCCCATACTCGGGGAAGGCTTCTTGTACTAAACTCGTGATAGCGGCTGCATAAACCTCTAAAGGTTCATCATCGTGCCTAGTCCTGGCGGTAATGCATGACTGGAATGCGGCTATGTCATTCTTTCTTCCAAAAACAACAGAAAGCGCTCTCTCACTCTCTGCAAAACTTGCCTTTGTTGAAGAAGGAAGATTCCCCCACACCGTAAAAGCTGATCCAGCCAGGCGAGAAGGAAGGAGGACATGCAAACGACTCTCTGTACTAGGGTCAACTTCGGCTGCAACTTTCAGACGCTTTGCCCACTGGGCAAAATCTCTCCCATCCGTCCCGGTAAAAATCTCGGGTAAATCTATCCGGAACATGGTAAGTAGACTTGTCGTCTACAGCAATATAATGTACAATAACTATATGTAGCCAACCAATAACGTACGCCAGGCAACGGTGAAGAAAGGCTGGACTACGAGGTAAGTATAGTAGATGTACAGGGGTGCAGAAAAAAAACTCACTCCCGATTACGTGTGAAAATATAGCTGCTCTATCAATTCCAACAACCAGACGAAGACTTAATTAAATAAGCATGTGAAAGGTAGTATCTGAAGGAGGAAGTACGTACAACAGACAAATAGTTCTGGAGTACGATGCAATTACCTGAACAATCAATGATTGTCAGAAAACACAAGTCCTGAGCTGCCGATCCAAGTATCAAACTGATGAAGGATGAACATACACATGTACAGGTGGTGTACATGCAAGTTACAGGCGGAAAAAGGAAGATTAACCTCAAAGCTGGCTCAACAGGATCACTGCATGAAGAATAACTGCGACAAGGCTAGCAATATTCAAACGAGGTAACCCACAAGTAGTACAATAAGACTGATATTCGAGTGGTGAAAATGAGTCTTGTACATCAACAATTCAAGAAAAGTCAGCATAACCCACATTAACCAAGAAGGGAGAACCTTGTAAAACAACAAGTATGTCCCAATTAATGAAGTAGGGTGAACTACACTTAATTATCAACTGGTGACTCACCAAAATAATCGTAGAACTATGGCGAGCTTGAAGTTGAAGAAGAGGATGTATGATGATATAGCTTGCTAATTAGCACCAAGCTTGCTGAAGGAGGGTGAAAACAGAAGCAAGGTACAGGCAAACAGCAGCAAAAACATGAAAGCACGACATGGCGAGATTGGTCCGAAATAATCTGGATAAAACACAGAAACACCGCTGCCACCAATTGTAACGTGTTTATTAACCGAGGGAACTTATAAACCAAAATCACTCATCGAACATGCTGCATCAAAAACAATCTAAACTCTCCAACAAAACTCAAGTAAACCAAGACAGTAGAAAACACAACCTCACACGAAGAAGGACGGAACAGAACTAACTTTAATACTCAATATTATAACATGGCTCTGAGTACAAATCAGGCATCATAACAAAATAAACCAATCAGGGGAAAGTCATGTGATAAGAGAAACGAATGAGGTGAACAGGCTAGATAGATCAAAGGTGAGAGGCAAAGAGAACGAATGAGAGAAGAGAAAGTGCATGTTGCTAGGGCAGGAAAAGGCAACCATGCATAGAGAATGAGAAGACAACAAAGGGAATGGGTTTGAAGGAGAGAGAGGAAAATAAGGTGTGGCAGTAGTGCAACTGAAAGACTGTGCTGTAAGAAGGTGAATGAAATGGGAACATGAGCAGGGAAAATGAATATGCAAATGAAGAATGCAAATATATAAATGAATATGTAATAATGGATAAGGAAGAGATAAGAAATTTACTAACTGAAATATAAAGACAAATTCAAACTGTTACACTTACAAACAATTTTCCCAATATAAGAACTAGACTACAAATATATTTAATGTTGCATACTTGCAACGTTTTTCTAATTATTTGTATTATTTTAATTTAGCTACTATTTTTTTAGCGCCTTCAGGCCCCTTCAGGCTTCATCAATCTGCATCTCGAGAGCTATATCTAGATATATATAGAGAGAGAGAGAGAGAGAGTGGGAGATAGATCGAGAGCTGTAGTATGGTACCGGTACGCCGTTGATGGAGCGATACATAATGCACCGAATTTGACGCTTAAATACACAGCCCACAATCTTTTGCTGTACCAACATGCCAACAAGTGTTATCTACCCTAAATCTTCCTAAGATCTGACGTTAGACTTTGATCAGTAAACAAACGGTCAAGAAAGTTGTAACTGTGTCTTTTCGCAAAAGCAGCCTGGTTAAGAGGAATTTTGCTGGAATACGTTTAATAATTCCTACTCCGTTTGGAACTCGGCAGCGGGACGAACAACTTTATTTATACCGACCGTAGGCCTATCGCCTGCCTGAAGTCATGGCGAGCAACTTGGAGCATTCCGCTGGTCTCGCTGCGGATACGACAGAGAAGTCTATTTTCAACATCTTGCCTGATTTGCCGGCTGGTCCTCTAGATATATATCGCCACAAAGCATCCTTCGATTGGAAACAGCTGAAAGTGGCAATTGAGGGTGAGGAAGCTCTCAGATTCCAGGTAATGTGACTACATGGTACATGCAACGCAAGAATTTGTGTAAATTATGATTAACTTTTTGATTTAGTCTAAGTTTAACTTAGATCTAGATCTACCTGAGCTGCGCTGCTTACACCTCCTCCTCCTCTAGACCATACTCCTCGATCCTCCTCCTCGGCCTCCTCCTACTCCTATTCTTCTTCCTCCTCCTTCACCCCCTCCCTCCTTTGCTATGTCATCCTTCCTCCCTCTTGATTTCCTGTTGTTTCTAGTTATCATTAAATAGAAAGTTCTATTTTAACACTACAGTTAGAGCTTATAATGTTTACGTCAAACCTCAAACTTTCTATTCTTTATTAATCATGTTAATTTGAATCATTATTAAAGTGACGCAGTAACATTGTTGAAGGTTGGTGAAAAAAAATGAATTTTTGTATGAAATGTTACTTATTACATTCCTTCTACTGTACTATAACCCTCTAACTTAACATGCAAAAAATCTTGAAAAAATTCTCAAACCACAAAGATATTTATGCATGGTTTTCTATCACTGAAGCAGAGAAAGCATCTTGTGAGCTGATCAACAGACATTTATACATCCAGTGATCAAATTGCTGTATCACAAGCATTTTTGTTTGTTTTTGTATTTACATGTTCACAACTCAAACTGACTACAACAACAGCAACAAAATAGCATGTACATTTTAAAAGAGAATTTGAATGAGATGCTTTTTGAGAATTTGAGCAAACATTTGTGTCGGGTTCTTCATATTCATAGATCTTCTTTATATTAGGCAGCTGAATATATACAACTGGAAACAAAATTGCATGTCTGTAAGTCTGTGATTTCTGTAGGTTCATGTTAACATGTCAACAGATAGAGTATATTGAATGTTTCTTTGCTCCTTTAATGTACAGTACCAAGTATGGAAGACGATGGAGGAAGACCCTCTATTTCAACACAGCCAAGAGCCTTTAACGATGGCAAAGGCCAGGCAAGTCACGTTTCGTCAAGCTCGACGCTTGTTTGAATACAGATTCCCGGAATCGTTGTCCAACAACATCTCTGCAAATGCATGGCTTCTAAGGGTTCTGATCATGTATGACATGGCTCTGTTCGCTAAGTTCAACCTCAACAGAATTGTAAGTGTGATGGGCTATCAGATCCTATAAAGTCAGATCTTAAAGTGTAATTGTATGGTCTTTATCAACAATTAAGCGTTTTTAATTGCAAATTATGGGTTTAAAATATGTTGCTGTAGTAAGAGAGAGAAAAGAAGTACATGTACATGTACTAGTTCATGGCGTTATTGCTGAATTTTTCCTTGTTTCTTTTGTTTGTAGTGAAAGTCACCATTCTCAAATTTAAAATAGGGTAATGAATTTGATTAAGAGCTCAATTCAATCCTGTTCTTTTGCACTTCAGGAGATCTTTTGCATAGATGTGTGCACAATACTTGCATTTGATCATTAATCCATAGAATACCGGTACTGAATGCTCTAATTCCAATAGGCCTACTACAGTGACCACCCAGTTCCTGTTGGCAGTGGGTTAGCAAGTGTGTTGGGCATTGGTTTTTAATGTTTAGGCCTAATTTTAAAATGATATCTGTTTTGTTTCTTCCAGATGTTTGGGGAAACACTACGAAACTCTGGTTCATCTCGACATGAAACCTTGGCACAACAGTCACAGAAACTTGAGGTAATAATTTGATTTTTTTTTTTCCTGCGAATTACCAAGTCTTGATATAAACCATGTCTCATGTTTGAGAGTTAAACTTCGTATATCAATTAAAAAGAATATCAGCTGTTTTGAATTATATCAATACAGAAGAAATTTCATGATAGTGATATATAACATTACTATCCACAGGCTTGTTTTGAATTTCGAGAAGTAAGACACACTCTTTTTTTATCCCAAATGTGATGTACTACAGGTATGTCATTGGTTAAAGCAGAATTATCACTTTAAAAATAAAGCAGTGAAATGGTTGGCCTTTTTTTTAATGCAAAAGCAATTCATTTAAACACTGAATGTCATTGACCATGACCAACCTTCAAAGTTAGAACCATTGTACTAAATGTTGACAGAGTTCACATATCTGATATCTCCATGTTCTCTCTCCACCTTCCAAGGCAATGGGCTGCTTCGCCTTGACAGAGCTATCTCACGGCACAAACACCAAAGCTATGCGTACTACAGCTATCTATGACCCAAGTACAAAGGTGAGGTGCAACAATCACAATCAGTCGATGCTTGATAAGAGATGCTCCGAGTGTAAAGGGGATGTGTGTCAAAGGGTGATAAGGAACTAAAAATGGCAACAAGGACAAGATAAGATCATTTGAGTGTTGATGGGTTGATTATTCTGTGTGCAAAGGTTTATCCAATGATATTAATAGACCATGTTGAAAATGTTTTTCAATTTATACTAGTTAACATAACAACAATCTATTGGGTGATTATGCGCAATGTTTCCCGTAGGACATGATACATTATTTATCCATAATTCCATATATTTTATTCCATGAAAAATCTCTCGATATGATTATGACTGCTGGTAGTGATGGCAAAATTCACCATTATTTCAATGGTCATATCAAGAGATTCTTCATAGTTTGGATAAAATATGTGAAAAAGGACACGTTGTGCAAAAAAATTACAGTACATTTAATAGTTGTCAAAAAAAAGTTATCGCTAGTCAGAAATGATAATAATTGATAGTGACAGTCTGACAGATAAATGAAATAGTTTGTAACAAGGCATTTAACAAAGACATATCTATTAGAAGTATATCTTAACAACAAAATGGCCAATTAGCTCAGGATTTCGGGATTAATTTGTAGGTCAAGATAAAACTTTTACGTTTTATTTTTACAAACATGCAATATAACAATTTTATTGAATATTAAAGCAATTATAACAATTCCAACAAGTATCCTTCTTCATCCATGATGATTAACTCTGCAAAATCTAATTGTTGTTATGTGTAATAATGTGAGAGTTTTTCTTAAGTTTATTTTTGCCAGTTTAAAATTCATATCGATATGCATAGCAATTAAGATTTTAGCAAAAAAAATCGTAATTTCCTTATTGATTGATTGATTGGTTGATTTCATCATAATTTCACAAAGTTGATCTCTGATATTTCTGCTTTCCTTCAAAACAACTTCCTCTAAAGTTTGATTGCCCGGCAGGCAATATACTTTTATGTACATTACAGGTTCTTTTCATTTATACCCAGATTATTGTAGTCTATAGCTTCTTATCTAATTGTACCATTGCATTCAATTCATCTATATCCAGGAGTTTGTTCTCAACACTCCTGACTTTGAGGCGACCAAGGTATGGGTAGGGATCCTGGGGAAGTCAGCTACACACACCATCGTCTTCGCCCAGCTCTACACACCAGACGGGCAGTGCCACGGCCTGAATTCCTTTGTAGTAGCTGTAAGAGATCCCAACACTCTGCTACCCATGCCTGGTATCCTGGTTGGCGATCTGGGGGAGAAACTTGGTCAGAATGGCCTGGACAATGGGTATGTACAGTGAAACCTGTGTATAAAGACCACTTCAGTGAGAGAAGAGAAGCAGTCTTTATGAGCAGGTGGTCTTTATGTAGGGCTCCTTTAATGCACGTCTTACTGATATACAATTCTGTTCAAGGGAAACTAAGAATATTTAGTCATTATAGACAGATGGTCTTTCTATGCAGGTGGTTGCTGCAGTAGGTTTTACTGTTTAACATTGTGGTACCAGTTGGGGTCTCTTTCTGTTATCTTTGCCTGATGTTGTGATGGAGATTTGACAGTTTATCTTTTTTTTTCCCCTTATCTTTGTGGCAGTGGTCATAGATCACAAGGTCTTCCTACTTCATTACGAAAATTCCTCGCTAGAGAGATTCCGACTTTAGTGTCCCTAACTCGGATATTGTCTCATAAGGCGTGTCTGCACTATCTCGAGATTGCCAAATATCCAGCTATTTGAATTATCCCGATCGCAAACTATCCAGCTTATTTGCGTCTTCATTAGACCGAAGTAGCAAATTAGCTGGATAGTTGGTCGGGATAATATCCCAAGATATCTCTGTCTAGTTTGCGGTTTTCCGTGTTTACTCGAGGTCAGTGGTTGCGAGGTCAGCGCTGAGCGGTATAGATCGCATGTGCGAACCGGAAATCGTTGTGCATGATGGGATCGGGATAATTGACTCCGTACTTCGGTCTAATGAAGACGGTCGCAAACTATCCCGCTAGTTCGGAAATAGAAGGATATTTTGCAAACTAGACCGAGATATCTTGGGATATTATCCCGACCAACTATCCAGCTAATTTGCCACTTCGGTCTAATGAAGACGCAAATAGCTGGATAGTTTCGATCGGGATAGTTCAAAATAGCTGGATATTTGGCAATCTCGAGATAGTGCAGACACGCCTATAGAGTTTGAAAACGAGCCTGGAGAAGGACCTCCCGTTCTTATCACTTTCCTAATCCATTGCCAATGACGCGCTGATAAGACCCGTCAACAGAGTCTGGCTGAAGAGAAAATGTGAAGAAAAAAATCCCAAAGTTACACAAATCTGTGTTTTTTTCTCCCGAAATTTGTTCTTAGGGATTCATTTGCCCCAAAAAACTTCAAAGCACAAAAATCGGGCAAGTAATACCGGAGATATGATATTGATACTCCCGAACAAATTTCAGATTTGACTCACTTCAGGAAACTTTTCCCCCCTTCTTCTCGTGGAGAGAGCTGTCAATCACGTTTCGACCGGCTGTTAAGCAGCTGCATCAGATTAAGCCCTCTTATGACCGACCAGCTTGTATGACTGCGCATATTAGTGCACATGTTTTTTTGATTTCATGTTTTATTTTGAATTTGATTTTATTACCAGAAATTTGAAAATGAACTGCTACCTCAAATGCAATTTTGAACGGGAGAAAATGAACCAGCAAAAGCGGAGATAAATATGAGATCGTGCGCTCAGCCCACGCTGCTCAGCCTACGCTTGAGCGCAGATTGTCGCATAGACATACGGGTCTTTTCCGAGTTTCGTCCAATTTTCTAGCGAGGCACTACGTGTACGTTCTTCCCTCGCTGTAGCACGTACGGTCTCGTTGGAAAACTGTATGCGTAAGTGCACTGCGTGCGCTGGCATCAGAATCAAACTCGGAGAAGGTTGTGTGACAATTTCTGAGCTGCGTGTCTGAGCGATGTTTATGTTATTGTTGTTGAATGAGAGTAGTCTAGTTACTAGACCTTCGCTGTGTTCTCCTCATTGCTTTTGTTTTAATAAACCGACCTAATATAAGCAGTATTCTTTCTGTCTTAAATTCATTATGTTTAATGTTACTACCTTTTATCACCTTCTCTAATGTTATTGTTTGTTTTTATTATTCCATTATTTCCTTTTCCTATCTTTACTTACGCTATTCTTTGATTCTTCCTTCTATCACCTTCTTTTTTCTGTCTTTCCTTATGTTAATCTTTGTTTTTTCCATCTTTCATCCTTTGTTCTATCTTTCCATTATGTATTCTCAATCATTTTCTATTTTTGTCTTAATTACTTAATGTTATTCTTTGTTCTATCATCTCTTATGTTATTGTTTGTTGTTATCATTTTATTATTTCCTCTTCCTCTCTTTCCTTACGCTATCCTGTGTTTCTTCCTTCTACCACCTTCTCTTATGTTGTTCTTTGTCTTCATCATTTTCTCATTTTCTTTTTCTGTCTTTCCTTAAGTAATTATTAATTGTTTCTTCCTACAATCACCTTCTCTTATTTTATTTTTTGGTCCGAAGCGCGGAAGCTTTGAAGTTTCATTACATTATTTATAGTGGAAGAAAACGAATCGTCGTACCGTTTCGACTCTTCATCCTTGTTTTAAATAAGACCCCCCCCCCCTCCCGCGCTTTTTTACGTTTCATTAAATCATTAGACAAAGAAGGCGATTCGTTGTACCGTTCTCGACTCTAAATCCTTGTCTTAAATAAGACCACCCCCCCCCCTTCTCCCGCGCTTTTAACGCTTCATTTTGAGAAAGAAGACGATTCTTTGTACCGTTCTCGACTCTACCAGGGCAAAGCGCAAAAGCTTTGACGTTTTATCAATAATTGAGAAAGACGATTCGTTGTATCGTTCTCTTTTTTTACCGTTTTGGGGGGCTAGGGGGGTGGCCGGTGGATCCGCGCCTCCCCCCCCCCCACCCCCCCCCCCCCCCACTCACGCGCAAAGCGCTGAAGCTTTGACGTTTCATTAAATTATTAGAGAATGACGATTCGTTGTATCGTTCTCGAATCTTAATTCTTGTCTGAATTCAGCCCCCCCCCCCCTCTGCGCTTTACGCGGGAGCGTCAACGATTAATATAATTATTCGAGAAAGAAGATGATTCGTTATACCGTTCTGGACTCTAAATCCTTGTGTTATATAAGGCCCCCCCCCCTCCTGCCCACGCTTTTAACGCTTCATTCAATTATTCGAGAAAGAAGACGATTCGTTGTACCGTTTTCGAATCTTATTTCTTGTCTGAATTCATCCCCCCCCCCCCTCACTCACGCGCAAAGCGCGGAAGTTTTGACGTTACATTAAATCATAATACAAAGAAGACCATTCGTTGTACTGTTCTCGACTCTAAATCCTTGTCTTAATTAACACCCCCCCCCTCCCGCGCTTTATAACGCTTCATTTAATTATTCTAGAAAGAAGACGAGCCGTTGTACCGTACTCGACTCTAAATTATTGTCTGATTTCAGTTCCCCACCCCCTCCTGCGCAAAAAAGCGGAAGCTTTGACGTTTTATCAATTAATGAATTATTGAGAAAGAAGACGATTCGTTGTACCGTTCTCGACTCTTAATTCTTGCATAAATTCAGTTCCAACCTCCTCTCCAGCGCAAAGCGCGGAAGCTTTGACGCTTCATTAAATTATTAGAGAAAGAAGACGATTCGTTAATTCTTGTCTTAATTACACCCCCTCCCACTCTCGCACAGAGCGTGGAAATTGAATTGGTTTCGCTTCTCTCTATTTATAATTCTCAAGCGCTGATGATATTGGCATTCATTTTCTTCATTCATTTTCTTTACTTTCCGTTGGCTTACTTTTTGTAATAAAGCCGGTAACAGCGATATTTTAATTGTTTTTGCTTCGCTCTCTCCTGCGATCCGTCTCTCTTAATATTGCTCAAGCGCTCAATTGTTATATTGACATTCATTTCTTTCTTTCCGTTGCTTACTTTTTGTCATGATAGACGGTAGTAACATCAGCCAAATTGAATTGTTTTTGCTTCTCTCGATCTCCCGTAATCTGTCTCTCTTCATAATTCTTAAGCGATGGTGATATAGGAATTCTTTTTTTCATTCATTTCTTTCTTTTCGTTGGCTTACTTATTTCATCATAGACGGTAACATCAGCTATTGAATTTTTTCGCTTCTCTCGATCTCCCGCGATCTGTCTCTCTTTAAAATTCTCAAGCGCTGATGATATTGGTATTCATTTTCTTCATTCATTTTCTTTCTTTCCGTTGCTTACTTTTTGTCATGATAGACGGTAGAAACATCAGCCAAATTGAATTGTTTTCGCTTCTCTCGATCTCCCGCGATCTGTCTCTCTTTAAAATTCTCAAGCGCTGATGATATTGGCATTCATTTTCTTCATTAATTTTCTTTACTTTCCGTTGGCTTACTTTTTGTCATGATAGACGGTAGTAACATCAGCCAAATTGAATTGTTTTCGCTTCTCTCGATCTCCCGCAATCTGTCTCTCTTCATAATTCTCAAGCGATGGTGATCTAGGAATTCATTTTTTCATTCATTTCTTTCTTTCCGTTGGCTTACTTATTTCATGATAGACGGTAACATCAGCGATATTTTAATTGTTTTCGCTTTGCTCTCTCCCGAGATCCGTCTCTCTTTATATTGCTCAAGCGCTTAATTGTTATATTGACAAGTTCATTTTTGTTCATTCATTTCTTTCTTTCCGTTGCTTACTTTTTGTCATGATAGATGGACCAGCCAAATTGAATTGTTTTCGCTTCTCTCGATCTCCTGCAATCTGTCTCTCTCTTCATAATTCTCAAGCGATGGTGATATTGGAATTCATTTTCTTCATTCATTTCTTTCTTTCCGTTGGCTTACCTTTTGCCATGAAGCCGGTAACATCAGCGACATTGAATTGTTTTCGCTTCTCTCTCTCCAGCGATCTGCGTTCATTTTCTTCATTCATTTCTTTCTTTCTGTTGGCGTACTATTTGTCATATAAAATCCGGTAACATTAGCTAAATTGAATTGTTTTCGCTTCTCGATCTCCTGAGACATGTCTCTCTTTATATTTCTCAAGCGCTGGTGTTGTAGGCATTCATTTCCTTCATTCATTTTTTTTTTCCGTTGGCATAATTTGTGTAATATTAAAAAGCCGGTAACAGCGATATTGAAATGTTTTTGCTTCTATCTCTCCCGCAATCTGTCTCAAGCGCCGGTGATATTGACGTTTATTTCCTTCATTCATTTCTTTCTTTCGGAATGCAGCGTCTCGTAAATATGCTAGTAACACTTATTGTTCGACTTGAGTTCCAAAGTTGCCAGTTGCTGGTACCACAATACATCTAATTTACTTCTCGCAGGTCCATGCTGAAACCAATAATTATTGTCTGAATTCTAGACTAACCCAACGCTCCAGGCTCACCTAATGTACGCAAGCTCTGTTGATACAGGGATTAAGTCCTTAATAGCCTTGTATTGACATAGGGATAAGTTCACCAGCAGATAAGGAAAGGTCTTGTTTACTTTATGATAATGACTATATCAAAGTGCTTAGGACCAAACTAAAGTCTATGAGACAATTCACTGAATTTTCTCTAACGGAGAGTTTTCGTCATGTGCTGCCTTGCCCTTTCTTTGGTTATACGTGGGTTCAAAAGACAAGAACAGGTTAAATAACGTTACAATGTATTTGTTTATCACTCAGAGCTCTGAACACACCGTTAACCCACTGCCCAGCCTCCAGGCTGGTGACCTGGGGTCGAAGGTTTTTCAGAATAGCTTGACAATTGGGACTGTATAGAGGTTTGGTGTTCTAGTGGATACGTCACTAGACTATATGTATCAGACAGTACAGGGTTTGAGTCCCTACCACATCATTAATGTCCTTTGGCAAGACATCTATATTTGCCACGCTTGAGCCAGGTCAGCTGAAACGAAGACCTGGCAGGAATTAATTCCTTGAAATGCTAGATCTCTATAATAGCAGCCACGGTAAACCTGCTGTAATAATTACAGAGTGCCAGGAGTTTCAAGTCTTACAGACATGAGTGCTATACAAGAACCAACTAATATTATTATCGGTAGTTTTGTCTGCTGTAACTGTATGCTGTTAGAAATGATTGGGTAATTCTAGATGAATTACAAGTATTTGCATTAATTCCTACATTATTCATTTTTCTTTAATGGTTTCCTTCCTTACTTCTTCTTGTATAGATTTGTAGCCTTCCATAATGTGCGCATACCCAGAGAGAACATGTTGAACCGGCTCGGTGATGTAACCGAGAGTGGAAAGTTTGTTACTCCGATTGAGGTAAGTCAGAGCTAAATCATCCAAGCTGCACTTGGACAGTTGCTAGGATCTTCAGTCTGTGTTCTACTGATTTAGCTAAACCCGACTCTGGGTCTAAGGTCACTTTTAACAAAGAAAAACAAGCCCCTGCAAGGGGTTTAAATTTTAGTAGAATACAGGCTCCTGAATACCAAAGAATGTCCAATATGGACACCAACTGCAATGATAATAATATTTCTAAATAAATCATGACCAAGTTCAATGCTTTTCTTCTCTTTTCTCTAAAGATAATAATAATGTTGGTTTTGCGGCTATAAACTTTTGTGAATCACAAATTAAGGTACCGGTATGTATTTTGATACTTGATGAATCTTGACTGCTCAAGTTATTTGTTAAAGTTTCATGCATGAAAGTTTCTTGTTTTTTTAACAGTTTGTGTACCTGTGTTTTGAGTAGACCGTAGTAATTCAATACAATTACGTTTAATTTTATTACAGCGTGATCTTTACTTTGGATAAAATATGAATAAAAAATAATGATTTGAATGTACTTGGAATAACTGCAGGATCCTAAGGAGAGATTTGGAGCGTCTTTAGCTGCCTTGTCTGGCGGGAGGGTGGGCATCACATCCATTGCCGTCTGCAACCTCAGACTAGCTATCTCCATCGCTGTGCGCTACTCTGCAGTCAGGAGGCAGTTTGGACCTACATCGGACGAAGAGCTACCAGTGCTAGAATATCAAATGCAGGTAAAAACGCTTGAAAAAACTTCTCCTCCATGCTAGCAGGCCCTCTTCTTGGTTTTAACATTATAATACTAGTAGACCATTTTCATAATGTAACTAAATTTAATGCATACATCTTTGTGAATGTGACAATATTGTTTATGAGATTTTTATACAAAAAGTTCTTAAATGTTGATATCAAAAGAGGGCAGTATACAGCCTCACTGGTACTGAATTTCTCTCTTACACTACACATGAGCTGTGTGAACTATCTTTTGTTTGTGACACTTAAATACTACTAAAAAATGGTCTATTACATCATTACTGACTGTACAGGAGTTGATGAAGAGAGAAAGTGAATCAATCTGCCATTTGTCACGATACATGCAGCTATACTGATTCATTTGTGATGTCATTTTTGATGTTCATTATTTTATTCTATTTCTCCTCAGCAATGGAGGTTGATACCCTACATAGCTGCTTCGTTTGTCACATTCCGATTGGCAGAAAACATCAATTTACACTATGCCAAACTAGCAAGAGCAGTGGCCACTGGGGACAAGACCATCAACGCGGTAAGTTTATAAGGTGAAACCTGTATCGAAAGACCGGCCTTTGGAGACACAAAAAGCATTTTTAGAGGCAGGTGGTCCTTATTTACAGGTTTGATCTAAAAGACAGTTAGTTGTTTTTTTTTGTTCTAAATATATATATTTTTTAAATTCAGGTATTACAATGAAAATTGGACTATGATTAATAACTTATTTCACACGTACAGTGTATTTGTAAAATTTGTGACACCAGAATGATTAATATGATCTCTAGTAAGCTTAATTTTCTTTAATTTTTTTCTTTTCTAGCTGGAGCTGGGTAAAGAGATGCATGTGTTATCCAGTGCCAGCAAGCCCCTTGGTAGCTGGTTAGCTAGGGACTGCATACAGGAATGCAGGGAGGCCTGTGGGGGCCATGGGTACCTGTGGGGTAAGTTGAAAGAGGCTAAATGGTTCTACGACAGGCGTTTTGGTGATGATCCGTTTGTGGGCAATTTCCTTCACTGACCATTTTTATAACTTCAACCCTGGGCCTAACATTATACCTAACTAAAACCCTTACTCTAGCCCTGTCCCTTACCTCAATCATAACACATATCCTAATCCTAAGCCTATAACCTTAACCCTACCGTTACTTAAAACTTAAATGCAATTGTACTGTGACCCTAACCTAAATGGTCACATCTTGCCAATTCATAACATCAAGAATTATTTTTGGTTTGTTTGATCGTTTGTTTTTATACATATACCGTACATGTATATGATTGAAATCTGTTTTAATGAAAATATACATTTTTTTAAAGGTGAAATTCAAAGAAGATCACAAATATGTCAACTATTGTATCACTAGAAACTGGTAAGATAACAGATGGCCATCGTACAAGTTTTAGGTCAACTACATATCGGGTGATTTATAAAAATACAACAACCACCTCCATAGCAGCTGGGATATACGAGAGATTAGCCGGAAAAATAACGATGTTTTAATGACGTCACTATGTGGACCAACACTGCCCAAGCAGACAACATCCCATAGAGAATGAACATAATTGCAAAGCTATTATTTCTCAAATTATAATGAGTTTAGTGTATATAAATTTAATGGCATGTCAAACCATTCAAAAGGGGATATGACCCGATTCTGATAACTAAAATCTTTTGCTTGTAAATACACAGGATAGGGATTAATTAACAATCAAAGAAACCAGACTGTCAAATTGAAACCCCCCCGGAATTATATTAAGGACGGCATTTGTTCCCTCTTGAAACGCCGAACATACCCGGTGTGTGCAGCTGAATATACAATGGCGTCTTATTTTGTTTACAATTGACAGATTCCTTTATTTTGGTATCGCTGCATTTGTCATCAAAATAAAAACATGCACAGGGTTTAGAGTGAGGCAATAAATTATACATTTAGCTTGACAGTATTGAAGTAAGAGAAAGAACTCAAGAGAAGATGAAAACACGGGCACTGAAAATGTGTGAGATGTCATGGGACATCGTCTGCTTGTGCAAGTCATGTCCATACTGTGATCTCACACATCTCAGCAGCGTTCGGAGAGCTCTTCAGGTGCTATGCCAGGGCTGTATTTAAGCGTTTTGCAATTTATAATAATCATTACTTCGAATGTTTCCAATGTTTCGAATAAAAGTTTTAACTTTGCAATAATGAAAATAAAGTTAGTTTTTTAAATCAATGAATTTCTTCTTTAATAACAGTTTTTTATTAGACGGACTGAATATTTTAAAAATTATAATTGGAAAATTATTTGATACTTAATTTCATATCTGTATGTCACGTTAATTTAAATACAATCTTCTCAAAATCTGGGTGTATCTTTTGTATGTTCCCCTCATGCAGTGAACAGATTTGGCATATTGAGGAACGACAATGATCCTAACTGCACGTATGAAGGGGATAACAACGTTCTGTTACAGCAGACCAGTAATTACCTACTTGCCATGGCACTCAGGTTACAGAAAGGTGAGTGAGCCTAATGCCCCTTTCACACTGGGTTAACTTGGATCTGATCCGGAGCCGACTTGAGACACACCCGATACGAATGAGCTTGCCGAAGCAAATTTAAAGATAAAGCTGAGTACTGGTCATCCATTGCACTGGTACATAAGAATTGATGTATACTATGAAAAGGTTGAATGAAAAAAATAAAAATAAATTGGATCAATCTTGCTGAAGATCACATGCATTGCACACAGAAATGGGTATATGGGACTATACACAGATGTTTGGCCCAAGTTTTTAAATCTCTGTTAGTATTTTGAATAGTAGGGCGTTTTAAGAGCAATCCTTTTCAGAAGACATTTCTGCTATGATAATTTTCCAAACTGACAGAAAACTCATTTAGTATGTTACTTACCAATTGATAACCATAATACAAAAAAAAATCATTTTACAGGCAAAAAGGTGGCATCCCCATTGGGTTCAGTAGATTTCCTGAATTCAGCAGATGCTATCGCTAAGCAGAAGTTCACAGCTTCAACCTCAGAAGATGTTAAGAAACCAAAGGGTAAGCCTAGAAGACGGTCCTTTTATATATTTTTGATTTATGATTCTGAATACAAGTCATCAGTGAAATAAGTCTCATAAATATTAAAGGATCATCACAAATTATTAATTTAGATTTATAGATGTAGGTCATTGAGAAAGCTGTCTTTTAGATAGATTCTGAATTAAACTTAAGATGAACTGTTTGTATATAATGAACATACATACATGTAAGGTGAATAAATAGATATGTATTTGAAATTATATAAATTAACTTGATTGTTTATTCATCTGCAATCATTGTAATGACCAATTTTTATTAATAGCTATTATTTAATGCTTTAATTTTAAATATTTATGAGAAACTGCAACTGTATGTATTCAAAGTGATGAAGGGATCCAAATAATTGAACATGTGCTAGCCAAATCTGGCCATTTTCCAGATTTCCTGATCACATGCTTAAAACGAATGATGTATAACAGTAACAATGTGGAGTTCCTTTCAAACATGTTGCCTGGGATACTTCAGGATGAAGTTAATCAGTCTAAAACCCTGTCCAACAGGTTTGGAAAAAAAATACATGTACACTGTATTTCAAACAAATATTGTTATCGCAGTGTGCCTCTAATATATCCTTGCCTTTTGCACCTCTCCTTCCCCAGTTCTCTTGGACGCCTATCGGTGGCTGGTGGTCTATCTCCTGCAGGAGAGTGGTCAGAAGTTCCAGGCCCAGCTGATGGACGGGAATGACATGTTCACTGCAAGGAACGAGACCCAGGTCTTCTTTTGTAGGACCCTCTCCTTGGCGTTTATTGAGGTACTGACGGAGAAAAAGTGATGATTTAATTCCAATTTTGTGCATGGTGTATGAGATTGTTAATACATTACTGATGAAGTTGTATTATGGATAATTTTTAAGTCAAAAGTAAGTTTTGTGTAAAGGAAGCATTGGGCATGGTGTGAAATGCATCTGTGTTCTTTCCATGATTGATGAATAAAAACATTGTATCCAATTTTTGTATCCCATCTTTGGCAGTCTGTGGCTTTGTCGCACTTCCTGGACTTCATCAGGACTGGTGACCTGATCCCTGAACAGACTGCTGTCCTCACTAAACTCTGTAGTCTGTATGGTCTCTGGAGTCTAGAGAAACATATGGCCACTCTCTATCAAGGTGAGTTGGATTGAAGCGAGATATAATTAGATGAAGCTATACAAATGATATATGTAAATGAGTTCATTATATGATCTATCTGCACTCTTGTTGAGGCTGTATGCATCTATTGTACGAAGCCATCATGCTGAGTGCGATAGGTGCATAAGCAGACTCAGCAAGAGCAGATAAATAATTTAGTGAACGAATGAATACATGCATTATTTGTTTTATACAACCAAACTCCTTGATCCTTGTTATTTAATGTAAGAAGAATTCATTTCAAGATTCTTACGTGTCATTTTTGCTGACAAATAAATCCCAAGTTTAGTAGGCTTACTGTAGCGCGCACACACAGATAAGAGCACCTACCTTTTGTATGCATTTATGTGGTGCTGGGCAAGTATATTAAATTCTCTTTTACCTCTCCCAGGCACAGGTTATGATGAGTCCATAGTTCATTCATACATGCACATGTAAAGCAGAATTTTGACGTGCTTATTAGTGTGTTGATGTTCTCTTAACATCTATTAATAAACTTTGATTTGTATTCTGTTTGTACATTTGTAACCCATCTAGGTGGGTACATCTCTGGACCACAACCGGCCAGCCTGATCCGGGACTCCATCTTGGAACTGTGCAGAGAGCTCAAGGATGAAGCAGTAGCTCTTGTTGATGTCTTAGCCCCTCCTGATTTCATCCTCAACTCACCCATTGGAGCGTCAGATGGGCAGGTGAGTCATTCATTGTACTCTGCAGGGGGTGTTCCACAAAGATCCTAAGGCGAACTTAAAAATTATGGAGAGCCATTTGTAGCCTTAAAATAGAATATATCCAAAAGCGAAAATTCAAGTATTTCAGACTTCTTATAAATTCCACATTAAGATCATGAATTCTCCTTGATAATAGAAAATATGAAAGATTTGAATCAACATTGTATGCCTTTTAAAATAGTTTTTACAAAATATTTTTAATAAAATTTTTATAAAATTCCATAATTGTTAAGTCCAACTTAGAGATAAGTTCAACTTTGTGAAACACCCCCCAGATTGTCTAGTAGATATGTTGCTTAACTGTGAATCACATGGTTCGCAGTCAAGCACTAATGTCCTTTGTCAAAATGTACATCTACACTTGCTTCTCTCCACCCAGGTGTAGTAAATGGGTATCCATAAAGAAGAAATTACTTGAATGCTTGAGTGCCATATCATGGTAGCTCGACTAAAGCAGAGGTAATGATACATTTGTGAGGCCCTCTTGGAGAACAGTATTACCTCTGATGGGGCTACCCTGGGTAAATGGCCTGCCATATTTGAGTCCCAACTTAACGTTGATCTTAGTCTTTGTGAAACACTCCCCTTGTGTAGGAAAATGTGCTACACTGTATTTGAACTGTAGGTACCTTCAGGATTAAATTGTACTGATTGCAGGTGTGGGGTCCCTGTGGAGCAACTTTTTGAACCGTGTCATATCTGTTTCTCTTCCTCATCATTTCTTTGCTTCAGGTTTACAAACGTCTTTACAACGCCATCCTGCAGACTCCCAAGTGCCTTGAGAGGCCTGACTGGTGGAAGGAATTCCTGGACACACCCATCGTTGGTTCTGCCCCTCCTGCTAAGCTCTGAGCATCCCAGAAGTGATAATTTATGCAGGAAACATATTTTTAAATTACCTTGCCATATATTAGACATTTTATTGAAGGGGGGAAAGCATAGTGTAATTATTGTCTGTTGTGAGACAGAAAGGTATTGTACATAAATTAAGACCCTTCGGGCTCTCAGCATTCAATTTGAATAAAATGTTTAAGAGACATCTATACAGAGTGAGTCCAAAAAAAGTTTACACCTAGAACATTGATAATCATTTTAAAAATCATCGATGAACATTAAATTGTTATATGTCTTATGAAAGAGTGTTTTATCCCAAATCATTTGGTACCATTTTTGTGTGGTATGTGTTCACGCTTGGATGAACATGAGACATTGTTTGCGAGAGTGCAAAAATCGACTTGCGCCAAAGTTGCCTATGTGATGTTTGAATAAAACAATTGGGATTTGGGTATTAATTCGGTCTTTGCAGATCCAAATAAAATCCCAAACAAAATTAATCATGCCACACATATCAAATATCTAATATAAAATATCAACGAACATTTTGTGCGCGTGTGTGTGGGTGTGTTCGACTTCGCCCTTTGCAAAAAACATATGCAATGCCTTTCATTTGATACATTCAATTCATTCTCTCACTCCGCGCGCTAATCCCAACATAATACATACAGTAGGCATCACTTTGGCGCAAGTCGATGTTTGCACTCTCGCAAACAATGCCACCTGTTCATCCAAGCGTGAACACATACCACACATAAATGGTACCAAACGATTTGGGATAAAACACTCTTTCATAAGATGTATAATAATTTACTGTTCATAGATGATTTTTAAAATAATTTTCAATTTTCTAGGTGTAAACTTTTTTTTGACTCACACGGTATATCTGATTACTTGGAATAACCACCACCAGCAATAATCTGAAATTAATATAACATGTACATGTAGCATAGCATTTTGAGCTATGATTTACAATCATTTGATAATGTCTTTCACAGTGAAATGTAGACCAAAATCTCAGCTTTCAGGAATTTGATCTATTTTGTGGGCCTTAACTGTTTTTATGTCAGTATTCTCTCATTTGCAAATAATGTAGAAAATTAAATTGGAATTGCTGACAAGATGTTGTAACATGTGTGTGTGATCTTAAACTCAGTATTTGTCCTGAATATAACCGTTAAAATACCGTATATTATGTGGTGAAAATTGATAAAAATTGAGATTCTAGAATGATTACATTCGCATCATGTTTTTATGAAATGTAACACAACTGATTGCATCTTAGTCTATCTGTATATCTTGACAATGAACAAAATGTACAAATTGAAATATATATTTTTCAAATTCTTAAATTGTAATTGATAATGAAAACATGTTAAATATATTTTGTTACACTATTTCCAATTCTGCAAGAAATGTTTATATAGCACTATTTGTATTTCAGAATTAAAGAGATGCTTGGTACTACACAATTTAAAAAGAGCAGTGAAAACAGACATACTAAATTAGACCTTTTTGTCTCGCACTCATCAGAGTAATGCACAAGAATGAAGAGAGAGCTGTTTTTATTCACTTGCCTTTTATTGGATGTATGCTTTATTCTATGTCAAATTTGCTTTGCCTATTATACAAACATGCATCCTTTTGCCCCGTACTCAGTTCAAGTTTAGCACTTGGTTCTATTTGGCGTTCGTGTAATCAGTAGCATGTTGCAGGAAAGCTGTTCCTTCCTCAAAATAAACTGCCTTTTCAAGAAAAAAATTAAACCAACACATCAGCTTACCTTTCATGAATATTGTTGATGAGTTGATTCTCTTGATAGTGAAATTTTATAAGCATGGTGGGAATTATCTATTACATTTCCAATGACAAAAGAAAAATATTGTCAACTGCTCATGGTATTCTATTTTTAAGTAATGTATACTTGTGGTTTATTCAGATTGAAATAGATTGAATTTAAATTATATTTTCTTGACTTGAGCTTGCAGAGCCGACCTTATTAATCTCATAGAAATATATAATGCAAACGTTTATATATCATGAAATATGCACTGTTGATATGTGAATCGATTAAAAATCTATAATATATGCAATTTCTTGACTGTAAGAATTATGTGATCATGATGTTTGCGGGGGGGGGGGGGGGGGGGGGGGGGACTGAGAAAGAAGAAAGGCAATGTGTAAAAGATAGAGAATTATAAAGAGGTTAGTGGCAGAGAAATGTAGAAGATCGACATGGGGTTAAACAGGCAAATAGAGAGATGTAAAGATCGAGATCGAGAGAGAGAGAGAGAGATCGAGATAATTGGGGGGGGGGGGGGGGGGGGGTTGGGAGATGAATTGACAACATTTATGTGCGAACATTCAAGATGTGTTCTTTGTAAAAGTAGGGGGAGGCCGATTAGGAGACGAGTATAATCAGGGGAGGGTGAAATACATAATAATGCATGCAGGCGCGTATGCAGGATTTTTTCAAGGGGGGGGTTTTAACATTTATAAATCGGTCCGAAAATTTCGCAACGACTCAGCCAGCCGCTGAATAAGCGGGGGGGGGGGGGGGGGGGGGGGGGGGGGGGGGGGGTAAGAGGACACTTTTTTTTTTTTTTTTTGGTCTCGAAATTTGGAAATTTGACATTTTGCTCCGTTGGGGGGGGGTAAGGTCACCTTTTTTAGGTCGGCCATGGGAATAATTTTTTTTTTTTTTTTTTTTTTTTTTTTAATTAAAAAAAAAAAAAAAAAAAAAAAAAAAATCCAAAGGGGGGGGGGGGGGGGGGGGTTTTAGGTTTTTTTTAGGGGGGTTTACACACAAAAAATTTCCAAAGGGGGGGGTTTTTAACCCCCAAACCCCCCCCCCCCCCCCTGCGTACGCGCCTGAATGCATGTGGAAAAGAAAATGCTCTTCTCTTTATCTTTTTTTCATTACCACACTACTGCATCAAAGCATGAAATGGATTATATCTGTTCATACCTGAATTCAATTCATCTCTCTCTCTCTCTCTCTCTCTCTCTCTCTCTATCTCTCTCTCTCTCTCTCTCTCTCTTTCTCTCTATCTTCCTTCTCTCTCTATGGCTGTATCTATGTCATTCTCTTCTTTGTTTACCTCTTTATACTAGTCTCTCTCTGTCTCATATGTTTTGTCTAAAATCATCTCGTCTTACCTCTATCTTTCAACCGAACAATTTACACTCGTTGCAAAATGTAAAGACAGAAAAACCAGCAGAATATTTACCTCGCTGTGATTTCTCTAAAATATCTCATTTAATAAGTCATTTCAAAACGAGTATTATTTTGTAAAATACGAAATAAATAATGTACTTGATATTTACACATCAAAATTGGCTTGATATATTCAAAACTCCTAATTCAATACGACCTAGAAAATTATACCTCAAATCAATGATATTCGTTAACATGATTATTTTTTCTTCAGAAGTTAAACAACTTATTAATACATTTAATATTGAGTCCCCCTCCCCTCCATATATCTCTCTCTCCCACTCTATCTGTCTTCCCCTCCACTCTCTCTCTCTCTCTCTTTCTTTCGCTCTCTCTCACACTTTTTATCTCTCCACTCCCTCTCTCCCCGAATGCAACTATATCCACACAAGTAATACTTCCGCAACTTTCAGAGTAAATTGTTTAACGATCTCGACGGACAATTAGTGGTACTCCCGACCTTTTCCCTTTTGCGCTTTTAATATTAGTTCTGAAAACCTAATCATACGGCGCCTTGGAACTCTGCCCATTTTAAATTCGCCAATTAAAAAAAAAGTATTAGACAAAAACTTGGCACTGTCAAATAGTTTGGTCTTTTAATTTCATTAAATAGCACCCCACCCTCTAACGCTCCCACCTTTTTTATGTTATGGGGGGGGGGGCTTCTTTTCAAGAAATATCGTGTTAAAACGAAGAAAAAGGAACCTTTTTCCCCAAAATCGTTCCGTACTGTTCTGCATTTTGTCACATCAAGAGATTGCCCCCCCCCCCAATACAAATAAGAAAAATAATATCTGCCCTCAGTACCATGTCACATATTTCTGTCGATCCTCTCTCATTCTTTCTTCTAATCTTGACAGAGGGCATTTTTTATTTTTTTTTGCTAATGAAACTCGAAATAAAGACGAAAGTACAGTAATACCCCAAATCACCCACATTTCCATCGCCCCTCCTCATCCCATCTCGTATTTTCAATAAGAATCAGTGGTGCAAACAATTTTTCTTTTCAAGGGGGACGGGACCGGACAAAAAAAAGTTTGCGAGAAAGTGTTAACAGTATTATAACTACTGACGGGGCTACCCTGTTGAAATAATACCAAATGAATAGATGAATTAATAAATAAATGAATAGATAAATAAATAAAATTGTGCTCATTTGTTATTCTACGAGAAAGGAGAGTGACCGAGCAACAACAACAAAAATCGAATTGAAGCTTGATATCATTCTAATGCGCTAATTCAAAGAGGTTTGTTATTACATGTATAAGCATCAAAATAATGTTCGTTGTTATATACACCCGTATAAATCTATATCAAAACCATGTCTGGGAGGGGTGTTTTTTGTATAAACAAATACTTCCTCTTAATCGACCCCATGAAGAAAACGGCGTAACTGATGTTATATGAATTTAAAGTTCAAGTCAAGAATTTATATAACAGTAAGCCAGCAATATTTTGCCTGGATCGTACACGCAACTTTTCAACATAATAATCGTATATTCTCACACAAAATGAATGAAGTACTTCTATGGACCAGTTGCTATTTGACATGTTCCATTCACAAACAGAGTGTTATCATTTTCATCGACATCTCCATGTTCTGTTAATTAGAGATTGTACTTTCCCTACTGAAGAGGGGAGGCGCCGCTCGAATTCGAAAAATTGAGATATCGTCTGCACATGGTTCTCGAATCACGCGAGATGATCGGTTGAGTGTTGATACAAGTTTGCCCCTACGGGATCTTATATGCAAATCGGATTAATGCCAGGAGCTGCGAATATCAAGTAGCATATGGGGACACATCCACGCATATCGTATGCAAACTAAATGAAATCCATGCATGCATTGAACCACTATAATTCTGTTCTGCGAAAAATTCATGTTGTCTGTGGCGTATTCCACAAATAGATAAACGAGGGTGGGGCAGAAGCCTCCTTATATGGATAAGGAGATGCGGCAAGTATCTTGAAATCTGCGTGAAAGAGGCCCACTAAAGTTTTATCATTATATTTGGGAGGGAACGGGGAAGGGAAGGGAGGGGATAGGCCTACGCCTGTTTCATTCTATCAGAGATACGCTTCCAAGTTTTATAAATGAGAAAACCGCCAGACGACAACTTGTGCCTCCCAGTCTCAGGCTCGTGTCCAGCATTACATTAGTATTGTATTTGTCAAAAATAACATTTGTGATGATTACGTCACAGAGACGTTATCAATTGAATTGAATTGTTAAGCAGAAAGCGTGGGGCCTAAATTTAGATAAATTCTTCTCCAAATACCTTTATTGTACATTGCTAATCTAATCTGATTTTTACACTTGAAAAGTTTTGCAAAAATACTTACTACACCGAATTCCAATGAATAATAATTAGTCTCTTCGCACCTACCGCCATATTCAATTGAAATCTGGTTGAGCTTATAGTGCTATAATATAATTATAGAATACGTATGTTTTCTTTAGTTTTTATTATAACAATTCCTAGCCTTGTCGTGGATTGATCCATAATCCATTACAGAGAAGTTGAAAACATGATCTCCTTTCCAACACCACAAAAAACCCAGTTTGAAATACCTTCGGTTGTTTTGAGTGCGGTTCCAGCAACCAATTCCATTCATAATAATTACATGTATACTCTTTCGTATTAAAGGATTTAACACCAATTTTGAAAATGTATAAATATCATCCACACTGAATATAAAATTTAGGAAGGAAAAAGCACAATAAATTCATTCAGGTCAGTAGTCAGGGGCATCCATGTTCGTCATTCGGTCCTTCAACGTTCTACATACCGTTGTCCTATATCCAATATATCACTTTCCACGATAGCATTTATCTTTAAGTTTCACATAATTCTCTTCGGAGCCATTCGTATAAACAGACTACATCGGTGGAAACCCTTCGAGAAAAGCTGCCGAAGGAACACGTTAAAGTTCGGCACAGTCCGTCAGAAAATAAGTGCTACACGCTTCGTTCATTAGTGTAGGGTCTTCGTTAAAACTCGTCCCGTTTCGGAACAAAACATCCATGAAGAACTCTCTCGCAAGTGGAGCTTCGAGTACGATCGATAATGTCCCAATGAAGACAGCACACAGATAAATGATGAGAAATATTCTGTCTATCACCATAGCAACGAGCTTCCATTCTTCTCTCGCCTGTAAAAGACAGAGAAAGAGAGACAGGAAAATGAATAGAGAAAAGAAAATACCATAATTTTTATCGTTTTTTTTTATATTTAGGTTTATTCATATGGTCCTAATAACACGATGATTTTTTTTTTTAAACCCTTTGTTCATAAAGATTGGTCAAAAAGAAAAATTAATCAATTTATTTTCGATCTTCTTCAAATCAAGTCGATTTGACAACATTAAATTAAAACAAATATATAGACATGACGATAATAAGACTGTACGGCTTTAAAGCAGTAAGATGGCTCCATTAAAAAAGGAGGGTGGATAAACCTTACATGCGCTGTTTGACAAAGTCTAAAATATTGTAGATCCTGGAGCCGTCATTGGTCAGTTGATCAAAAAGACCTTTGCTTTCACAAAATGTAATTAGCAATCAAATCAATCATGTAGACGGACTACCTTCAGCATGCAGTGTAAATTTTACTTGATGAAAATACCATAATCTCACCTTAGTTGCATATTCGTTGTTAATACTGCGTGATGTGAGGTACATGATATCTTCCACCGTCTGTTGAGCCACCATGTACTGCAGCGGCGGTTCCTCCTGCAGAAGCGGTCGCGGCCGCTTCTTGCTTGTCGGGGTGTGACTGCTTGACCGGATGTTGTTCTCCATGTGACCGGCGTGCGGATGCCCAGACAACTCGTCCGGGATGATGTAGTGCGGAATCGCGTTGTTCTTCTCGTTGAACGGCGTGTAGAAACGTTCAGCCTTCATGCTCTTTTGCGCCAACATGCAGTTGAGGAGTGGTTCGACGGCAGGATTCTTGTTGCCGGCGTTCATCTTGGCGTTGTTTTCCTTCGGTTTGGAGTTCTTGTCCACGGCGTAGTTATGCGTTGCTTGATGTGACAGGTGGGCTATGGAAAAACAAAAGCCATAGGGGAAATTTGTAAGCGAGGACGTTTGAAGAATCTTCACCGTAATCTTTAAGTTCACGCTTCAATTGTAGAATCTTACAGATAAGAACGCTCGTTCGATGCCATGTATCATACGACCGATATTATTTGGTTCCCCTCCACCTGTAATATCATTGAACGAAGCTACTCAAGAACATAATACACATATATAACCTTATCCGTATCCGGACACCTTACCCCCTGGACATCCATCCCCGGATAACCACCCCCAGTCAACTACCCCCTAGGGCACCACCCTCTAGGACGACTACCCCCTACGGACAACTACCCCAGATAACTACCCCTTAGGACAACTACCTCCTAGGACAACTACCACCCAGACAACTACCCCCGGACAACTACCCCGAGACAACTACCCCCCGGACAACTACACTCTACAACAACCATCCCCTAGGACAATCACCGTCGGAAAACTATCCTAAACTATAGGGGGTAGTTGTCCGGAGGGTAGTTGTCAGGCAGTGCAGTACCGTTTCAAACACTGAACAAAATTAATGTGGATTTTTTTTATCAAAACACCAATTCAAGGAGTATCTATCAAAATTAAACAGTTACATATATTTATAAAGACAAATATGTAGTAAGAAATGAATTAATGGATGAATATGAATGAAGCTAGTTCAAAACAATGAAATTTGGTTACAGGAAGATATAATATCTCTCAAGCGAAAATCATGTATCAAAGCCTGTTTTGAAAACTCCAAACCAAATTATGCTCACAAACTTTAAAAAGGGAAATTGGCCTGTAACTACAATAAACTATAGATGTTTTATTTTTAATGTTTTATTGTAAGTGATCAATTTCCTGCCACTTGTCATATATACCTTGCATTAAATCATTATCCGCCTCGGAGGAATGTGACGAAGTCTCCGTCATCATGGCGTCTACGTGGTTACACGTAGCTATCGATTCACGTCCCGACATGTTGATGCTGTGCATGTCTCTTTTCCGCTTTTGGTTTGGCCGCTGCAATCCGACGAACCGCGGCAGCATGTCGATGAAGACGGTCCGGACCCACTGCGGCATTATGTGCGTGTACGGTGACCGGTGCCGTATGTTGAGAACGAAGACGGTGAGAACGATGGAGGAAGCTACGATGGTCATGGTGAATAGGAGGTATTTAACAATGAGAGGGAAGTTGTTGGCGTTGGAAGGAATACATTGTGTGACGAGCAGAAGGAACCACACCATGGAGAGAAGCACTGAGGTGCAGAGAGACATCTTGCCCGTGATGTCCGGCGGGAGGTAGAACACGAGCACCGTATTGAACGAGATTATTCCACAAGGAAGAAGCAGGTAGGCGAAGTAGAACAAAGGTTTCCTTCTCAAGACAAAAGTGTAGGTCACGTCAACATAGATGTCGTCGCAACACGGGTACTTGATAGCGTGCCGTTCTGCAGGCGATTTGACGATCGTCCATTCTCCGTTCTCCCAATAATCTTTCTTTTCCGCGCTATCGCTGACCGGGATCAAGTCTATCTTATGTTGGTCGTAGGACCAGGACCCAAACTTCATGACGCAACGCTGCTCATCGAAGGGAAAGTACTGGACGTCGATCTTGCATGAACTCTTGTACACAGCAGGAGGAAACCAATATACCGTCCCGTTGAAATAGATGTTGGCCCAAGCGTGAGATTTCATATCAAATGTCCCATTTGCGCTAGAAAAGAAGTTACAGGAATAAAGTGAATTATAAGAAATGCACGCACATACAATAGCTATCCGATGTCATGGAGTTTCCAGTCAATCAATATAACAGTACAACAATAGAACATGATACTAATGCCCTCCTAATGATGTACATGAGCATCATACAAGGCAAATAGACAGTGGATGTTTACGTGTGCCTAGATTTCACACTGATTGTTATAAGTGTAGCCCAATTGTTTCTTCCATATTTGAATGGAATAAGCTAGATAATTCATTGAGAACGGCTTGCTCTGTCAATTCATTTAAGAGATTGTTTAAACAAAGTTGTAATTTGTGAATGGCTCAGCCGTACATACACTACGTGCATGTTCTGTAATATTTACATGACTTATTCACATAATTGCGACTTAATTAATATTTTCCTATTGACATTACTGTTTACTAGGTTAATGATTATATTTATTTTGCAAACGAGTATTATTTTTGTAACTGTTCTGTATAAATGTTATAAACGATGTAAATATGTTCATTCAGGGCCCCATGGAAGACCACTACTTGTTGGTGAATGGGCTACCCTGTCAAAATATTAGAAATAAATAAATAAATAAATAAATACTGAGGAGTAAACTATAGGGCTATAGACTGTAGTGTTAATGCTTAGGCAATTACTCCTTTTCGTCAATCCAATCTTTCATTTTAGACCCTATCTGCGGCGCAAAACACTATTCTTAATTGATTGGAGCCCGTTACGTACAATTTGCAGCCAAGATATACTACATGACAATAGATTTGTCCTTTCTGACCTTGGTATTGACGAGTCTGATTTCGTGAAAATGTGAATAAGCAAAACATAGGCCCATGGCCCCTATTTTGACGTCTCATTGTTCTGACAACCATGTTCCAATAATATAGTATTCTCTGTTGCAATATATTAGCCACACATATTATTTCAGAGACTACAGCACAAGTTCCGCGTCTCCTTTACGCTCAAGTACCATAAGAAAAAATCCCCCCAGGTACATGCACGATTGCAAAGGGTGTCTGAACATTGGGGTGACGTAACGTATGGCCGTCACCAGTGATACCAATGTAAACCAATTCAGTTGAACCTGATTTAGAAATCACTTTTATAGGTAGACCACCTGCCTATTAAGACTGCTTTTCTAGTCCCCCCCCCCCCCAAGGGCAAAGTTTATATGCAGGTATAAAAAAAAATTGTTATTCTAATGGCATGAAAGACTGCGATGAAGTACTTATACATGCATCAGGACTGTTACTTACTTGTTGTATATCATGATATCTGGGATCCATATTTTGGGACTGGGGACCTTGATGTTGCTGATATTGCCAAAGTCTGCAGGATCCCATGTGAAGTGATAATCACGCCACATCTGTGAACAAAGAGGTTTAAAAGTGCAACATATTGATAAGTCATTCAACAGGCTTTACCCCCCCCCCCCCCCCGCAGCAATATCATTGCGTACTTTAATTTTGTGTACAAAATTATAGAAAACGTCTTTGTGTAATGCTGTTAACTTAAAGCTGTGATGAGAATGGAATTACAAAGGCAAAATTTGTTACATAAGTAAAGCACGTGTGTAGTAGTGGTAGTACGTTGTAAAGTGCTTGACTCACTAACTTGAAACGAGAAAAGATTGAATTGTGGCCCTTCGCAATATACGGCCTGAAGAAATCATCAAACATCTTAGTATTGATTATCTAATGTTTTTAATTTTTACAAAATCGGTAACAAATAGCATGATATCATTATGACTACTAATTCCATATTGTGGACATATACATTATCACACAAAAAGAACAATTAAAAGGTGTCTCGGTGGAAAGTGGAGCAGATCTGTCGACATTTTATAATAGACGATGAGTTTATTAATGTAACATGAAATTATATAACTCTAAGTGGCTCGAATGATTTTTAACAAAGTATGAAATTAAAGAAAAGAATTAACATACCTGTTTCATCCAGACCTTAGAGGTTAAAACTTGGTTTTTCTCATCCTGTAGAAGAGAGAAATTAAGACATTTTAATTAAGAAAATTATCAACATTTTTTCATTATTCTAAAATATTTAGATTAAGCCTAAATTTATGAGATTGTTATCACACAGCAGCCCGGTCACAACATAGAAAAATACGGACAACCAGATGTCCGTTATTGGGGGCACATCTCAACCGTGACCGGCTCTTTTTAAAAGTCTCTTTGTAACCAATCGTTCGCATAATAATCGTTATGACACAATTTAAGGGAAATTTGAAAGAAAAGCATAAAACGTACGGACATCGTAATAGTTTTGTTCATCACCTATTGAAAATTTCGACCATTAAAGGGAAAGTCCACCCTGATATTAACTTGGTTTTAATAGAAGCAGATACATGAGACGTACAGGTGACTGAAAGTTTGAGCAAATTTCGATTATGAATTTTTGAAGTTGCGATCAATCAAACATAAATTGGCAACTCAGTAAAGTAACTTGCAAGATTCCCTTCCATTTGCTCTGTACATTACTTTAACAAATTCAGAAATATCTTTTTTCCCCAAAGAAAATATTAAATTATACACTTATTGCAAATATCCACAACCCCTGTATAAAAAAAAATCTTTTCCGTGATCAATAACTTAGAAAATGAACTTTTGTGACATTTCTGTAGAGGACCTCGCAAGATACGTCACTATGTTTCACCCATGACAGCTTTAGAATTTCATAATTTTCCTATTTTTAATCGGATATTGCTCAAATTTTCACTAATTTGTTCATCTCGTTTTCTGCTTTCCTTGATACCAGCTTATTGTAAGAGTGGACTTAGCATTTGAAGTTATGTATTACGTATTCCAAACATATTTTATATGGTATATATAATGGGAAATTATAAATTCCCTTGTTTTAGGTGCCTTGTAGGTTTCTTTTCGCTGCTCCCTAGATCATAGTAAAAGAGGTGAACTGAAAAGGTACTCACCACATCTACTATTTGGGAGATGGCAAGCCCGAACCAAATGAGGAGAACATCAGAAGCATTTTTGTTTGGAAGAGCCCATGGGTTGTAATCAGGTGGGAAGAGCTTTTCTCGGAGCAGTTCTTCGGAGGACGATGCACCACAACCTGTAGGAGAGAGAGAGAGAGAGAGAAAAAAAAAGAGAATCAATTGATGAGGCCTTTGCTTCAGATGACTTTTATACCGTCTGCACAGAGTCAGAAGAAGGGCGTTAACGCTGTGTACAAATAAAGGACGTTGAACACTATTCCAACTATAGCCAAGCTAGATATAAGCTGCAACCGAATAATTACAATATACATTGGTCGAAGTCATCAAATGAAACTAGTAGCTGAACACAGCCGGAATGAACGAGCACTTCATAAAACATGTAAAAACAATGTTTTTGTTTTGTTTTGAGCGTTTTTTCTTCATATTGAACAGGTACATCATATCAATTGAGGAAATGTGCACATTCTCATCTTCCTAGGATTGACTGTTTATTGTTCACTTATCTTTGCCTTACGTTTTTACTAATGAACGAAGGACAATCGATTCTTATTCATTTCTGAATAAAATTGAATATTTTACTCCCACACAAACACACATACACACATACACGCATACACGTATATTGCAACTCGTCTATGCAAACCCTATGCACTTAGTCTTAAGGGAATGACAGCGTCATTATTTCTCCCTGGTTCAAAACCGAAATGCCTGACCTTCTCCTTTAAATTTCTTCCCCAACTGACAACACTGCACATCAATAGACTGAGCAGGTGGAGGGCACGCGAATATTAGATTGTCTTGGCGAAGAAAAAAAAAGGTAGTAACGTTTACTCTCAACGTTCTTGTGTTCTTTTATCTCCCTTTGCCCCTTACAAAGTACATGAATTATTTATCCAGTTCAAACGCAACACGTATCTACAATATTAAATCAGGTGTGGTTGTATAAACGTTTTCCATGATGTTTATCAATCAAGGGCGAATCAGTAGGGGCGGAGGAGAAAGGAAACGCCCTTCTATTTTTTTAGACCACCCAAATAATTAAGTAAATCCACCCAAATAACTTTTCCGAATAAGATATTTCATATGTTTTCTCCTCCGCCCCTTCATAATTTTCTGGCATCCGACAAGCATGCACGTATCTATGCCAGAGGTGTGTTCCCTTTCTTTCAAATATCCAGCATCCGCCATTGCTAACTAGATCTTCTATTTGCCCTCATTTTTCGTGCTTAACTGCCGATCCATCTCATTCAGAGAAGAGGACAGGTGGAAATGTATAGATGGCCCCAAAAGACTTCCCTGTATTACTTATTCCGCGTGTTCTCTTTCGTATTGGTCTCGCAACCTTGTAAGTCTCATTCGATTTATCTATGCAAATTCAAAATGGCGGAGGGCGCCGGGTCTAATAGTCGCTTATTCACCGCGGTTGGGTAATGCAGGAGAAAGCCAATTATTTCCATGTACTTCATTCGAGTCAAAAGCTCGAGAGATCTTATTTGTTGGCCATTTCATTATTTTGAAGGCTAAAATAATTTATATTTAATTGAATCCTGTATGAAAGTCCTTCACTATGAAGTAATATTTTTACACGTATTTAAAAACTAGAATGTTTATCTTATGTATACTACACGTTATTGGCCAGATCAAAATGGTCACAGTATCTATTATCTGCCATTCCTGCGTGCTTCTAAAAAGAAGTTGTTACGTGGCGCAATTGTACCTCAACATATAAACATGATTTAAAACAAATTAACAAGTATTGTCATCAATCATTGCTTGAATTATTCTCATAATATGTGTTATGCGTCAGTGTGGGGATTTTAATGTGATGTTGAGGGTGGGATGAGGCTGTTTTTCGGTGGTTATAATACGTGAAGCCGGACGCAGACCACTGCTATTTTTACCATGCACCTGTTGTTGAGAAATTATTAATCTCTCTTTGCTGATTCTCATTGTGCGCCAATATTTGAGTAAGTTTTAAGAAGAAAACACACGCACGCATGCACACACCCTCCCATACCAAATTCCCCTACCGCACTTCCAAGAGAAATCAATTTTTATATCAGCGACGTCCTATATTACTATTTATTTTACACCTTTGTTGAGTTAGTTCATCAGCCTTGTAATTTTTCGTCTTTAATTATGATTACTTAGAAAACAAATTAAATCCTTTTTGCTTCCAAGTTTACTTTCAAATTGCGCAGCTATAAACCTCCGCGTGTTTTAGATTTACTGCAGAATGATACAGCTCCTTTGATTATTATTTAGTTACGATTTTCTACTTTTGACAATTCTTGATGGATAATTTTAAATCGCGAGAAACACATTTCATGATCAAGAGTTTGATATTTAATTTTCCTTTCAAAATGCACTATATGCTCCCAATTGGACGGGTGAATTAAGTCTCACAGTACGTTGGTTTTAAAAGTTGTGTACAGTCTTCTCTAGCAAGTTTCTTTGCGATTGATGCACTTTTTAACATAATCATATACTTTACATTTTCCGCCTCTTTGATTCTCGAACTGCGATTTTGCTAGGCAATCATTTATATAACTATAAATAACTTCGTTTCTCTTCTGATGAGAGGAATCATGTGTTTTGTTTAATACTCATAAATGTCATAAAAGAAATTAAGTGAATTCGTCTTCTCTTTTCACCCAATCAAAGGACACAAAATCCAGAGGCCAACAACATCTTTAATGAGCTAGATCTTTATTTGGGGTTTTATCCGCACTTTAAATGAGGAAAAATATTAAAATCTTGTTTCAGTGTATCACAGTTGGATATAGTGAAAGCCTCCTCTTGAAGAGATTATGAAACCACGTCGCATGCAGTGGGGACCGATGTACATGTAGATGTATGGGGCACAATAACTACTCGTCAGTGAACATTGTGATGTTTTCTTAGTCCATCCACGACATGTTTTCCCCCACTGATGTGTATCGATTTATTGCTTTTCAAGACGGCCCCTCGTGTTTCGCGCCCAAATTAATTTTCATTCCAGAGCTGATACAACACCCGATGCCTCTAGATTGTGCTAATTTATTGGATGTTTGGTTATGTTAATGGATGAGCAAACTTGTAACTTATGTACCATACGCAGGCAACCCGTCCGTCGCTGTATGATATGGCATTTGGTTTAGAGTCATAAAAGAGCATTGTACTCTTGACGGAGATGGAAAGATTTCAGTCACAATTTACGAATATTGTAGGCCTATAAATCAGCTAAGTTTTTCTTGATTTATTGCTTCACTTCCATCGTATATTTTTTCTCAATACCTTCATATGACGACATTTTCCCTATTGCATCAATACTTATTACACTATGCTTTCGTCCTATCTCATCTTATCTTATCAAATTTCATTTGTATCATCAGATCAATACTTCTATCACATTATAATTCTTTCTCTTTCCTTATTTTGTGGTTTCGTTTTTATCGTCAACGCCCTCAGTGTTTACTGCTCCATCTGTTCTCTTTTCTCTTCCCCTTCGCCTTCCCATATATGAATCTTTTATAATCTTATATCTCTATTCCCCATTCCGTCGTCCCGTCCCCTTTCTCCTTGTGCTCCTTTTAACCCTATTTTTGTTCTCCCACCCTTTCGCTTTGCGTTTTTCATTACTCTCCTTTTCCATCTCTTCTGTATTTTCACTTCTATCTTCTATCCTCTATACCATTTCCATTTTCTTCTCTCTACTTTCCTCCTCTGTGGCCTCTTTCTTCATCTCATTCATCATTCACTCTCCTTCACTATTCATCTTTGCCCCATTTATTTCCCTGTCTTCATCTGATCCCCCCCCCCCCCGTCTCCTCTGTCGTATTCTCTTATCTCTCTTGTATGTGCCCTCCCTCTGTTTCCTCCCGCGTGCGCTCCTAATACCCCTCCTTCGCTCGCTCCCTCTCTCCCCATCGGTACAAGTCATCACCACAACTTGATGACAAGGAAGCTCACACTCATATTATGAGTGCCTCTTCTTTAATTGAAAAGATAACATATAGCCATGTCCGCCTGCAGACCCGCCACAGCCAGGCGCATTATCGTCATTGAGATCGATCGTCATTTTCTCCACACATAATTAAGAAGAGATACGAAACGAAACTGACTAAAAGAATGTGAATCAGGCAGGCTTATCACGTGACCTGTTTAGAGCTATCTCTATGATTGGTATAAAGTCTTTTGATATCTTGCATCGTGCTATATAGAAAGAGGCATGGCAAAGGGTTTTTCTCTCCTTATTTGGTTCTACTACCCAAGTTTACACACAGAATCTACTACTACTATGAATCTTGTACGGATGTGAACTTGTACGATCTTTGCTTGCGCTTTATGAAACTAGCACATTCATGTACTGCTTTAAGATAGGACTAATATAAGTTTATAAAATGCATTAATAAGAAGATTTTTGATATACCTGTTTGAATTCCCAGGGTGAACGTCACGCGAGGCAGCCATCAATATTCCTAGTATATTCCGCCCCAAGTTACGAAAGCAATTTTTGTCTTTAATGACAAAGTTTGAAGACAATGACAATGATGGTTTATGCGTTATCGGTCTTTCATTTTTAATCTGTTTTTGTAAGTATGTTTGTGATGCAGCTTGATTATCTCGGATTACCTTTTAAAAATCAATGCTGTATTAAGTTTATACTTCAATTGATACTTTACTACCTATCACAATATTTTATGTTGTTAGGTCATGGCTTGTGTTGAAAAAGTGAAACAGTACCTTTAATTTGCATCCGGACAATTAGCTGTCATGAAAAACAACTGTGTTATTACACAAGCAGGTGCGTATTTACATTTTCAATTAGAGACGCTTTTGATGTGGGACACCCATTAATGGCTGCGACATATTGGCAGTACCCCTTAGAAGTCAATTAACGTTTTCAATTACGATTGCAGTAACAAGCAATCGTCTTCCCGGCGTAGCTATACACACGCACACCCTCACCCACACGCTTTTTAAGGGTGATATATCGGAGATGTAGCTTGGGGGAGAGTGAGGGCCCTAGGGCCATGCCGCCCCCTTCTCTCAATATTAACTACGGACAAAGAAAAGGAGGGAAGAGGTCGAAAGGGTGAGATAGAGAGTGAGAGAGAGAGAGAGAGAGGGGGGGGGGAGATTAATGAAATGCGATGGGGGAAGTGAACCCACACCCTCCCCTAACCGATGACCTCATTAATGTATATTCCATCCACCAAGTAAGACCGCTGCTACAACCAAACAACATCCCCTCTCCCCCGTGGTACCCACCCAATGGCTCGACCCGATTCAGCCTCTTGGAGGTACGCGATGGACAGTAAGTTGATTATCTAATTAGCGAGAAAGCTTTCAAGGAGTGCTTGTTGAAGGTGTCCTATTCTGCAATATATTTCTCTTTGAAGTGAAGGTAGGGCTTTTATTAGTCCAGGAATAGTGTTATGTGACTCTGTTTTGTTTGCAATTTTAAAGACATAAACAGGATTGGTCAATTCACTCTTTTCAATATGTTTAATCAACTTTTACTGCGCATGGCCTGGCATCATTTATGAACCTATATATACGACGTATATTATCGACAGGTGTGACTACTATTAGAGTAAGAAAACCAACGCTGCATCTTCCTTTGCAAGTCACTATTTTTCTTTCTTATTTTTATTTTTCTAGTTACCATGAGAGTCACGTCAAATCAGATTAAATCATTACACGACTAATAACGATTAATGTTATTTGCTAAAATATAGCAAAACGATATCCTTCACATAATTATGAATAGATGACTGAACGAATTAAAAAGTAACAAAGATTGAATGCATAAGAAACTGTTAATACATTAATCCATGTCAGTATTGTCAAGCTAACAAAGACAGAATGGGTGACTTAAGGTAGGACCTAAATTTGTGAAGTGGGCACTTCGAATGAACATAAATTATGCGACAGTGTACAAAAATGATACACACACAGAATCATTTTCTCACAACCGAAATAGTGAAATATTCCCAGAAATGTGAAAATTATAATATGATTATTTACTCTATCACAAATTCGTGATTTTCTCGTCAAATATTCACGATGTTCAAACATTAGTACGTGTCGTCCCTGGTAGTTCGAGCACGTTTTAAATGAAATATATCGACTAACATTCCGTGAAGGGAAGGTGAGAATAAAGTAATTTTCATACATTTTATACCCTGAATGTATTTTAGCTCTAAATCTCTTTTTCCTCCTCTCTGTATCCATCTCTGTATTTCTCTATCATTGTACCTATATCTCTGCAGTCTCATTCTATCTCTCGTTCTTTTTCTGTCTCCCCGTGTGTCTACCTCACCCCTCCCTTCCCCCCCCCCCCCCCTCTCTCTCTATACTATCTCTCTCTCTCTCTCTTCCTCCTCCTTCACTGTCTCTGTTTCTGTTTTTTTCTAATAACAATATCAACAATATATTTCACAGTCTATACCATTATTTCTTTTTTTCTATCTGTCTCTTTATTTATCGTTTATTCTACACGATATCATGAGCCAGTCACCACTAAAATTAACAATCAACCGAAATTTTAATTCGATTTAAGGGATCAGAAATTAGTATCATGAAAGCACTGTGTCATCATTATGCATCAACAATTCATGCATAATTTTTGTAAGAGTAATTTCCTATAAATGTGGAATTATAACAGATTTAAACAAAAATTATTAGCACTGCTTTATTTGATATCACAATGTTTAGTTTGTGTTTGTACATTTACTGAAGATTTAGCTCTTGACCATAAAAACCACTTGGAAACTGATGGAAAGCTACCTGTCATGTAAATTCAAGATAAAATCAATCTGAAATGGTTCATAAATATATGAACAAGATAAAGTCTGACATCTACCTGAACGTGATGTGTTATTCAATCTGATTATTTAATTGTTGGCGTTTTTTTCTTCAATATTCACTCACTTATATTCTTTCCTTATTTTGTTATTATTTGTCAATACAATTTTTGAACTATTTATTTTACAATCTACGGTAGATATGAACTTACAAAAATAATTATGTATAATTATAACATTTTTTTTTTAAATGGAGGCATTAACCTAACACTTGAAAAGAGTCTAAAATGCTTGAACACGATTAATGAATTCCCTTTACGATTGATTTGACATCTCAGATTATGTATTATTGAAAAGTCCTGAATTCCGAATTACGCACTTAAAATGTGAAGTCAATTTATCAAGGTTGTAATGATGTCAGCATTGCCTTAGCTTGTATTTTCGAGGAATGCCACAACTTGATTACCCTTTGATACAAAATATTAAATTCGAGCAACTATCATAAGTGTGGATATTGATAATATTAACTGAAAGTGTCAAATAGAATACTATCATAACCAACATTTAGTGTTAAGAGTGAAGTTGATACTGGAAGCTTTTAGAAAGCGTGACATCACGGTGACGTATAAAAGCATTATTGTCAGCAACTGATGGAAAATTGTTGATTATACAAGAAACATGTGCTCTATAAAGAGTTTATCGTCGTTTACCAAGGTGTTGAGGACTCAAAAAGAGAACAGATTGAGTAGATGATGAAATATAAACCTTAAACGTTTATCTCGCCCGCACTACCGCTAATAAATCACCAAAACCATGGGTTTCAATTTCAGTGAAAGCGATAGCCCGACCTGAACGATGTGTTGTATAACTGACCGTGGCGGCTCAACGGCCGGGGAAATTACCACTGAGAACCCCATCGGATTAAGTTTCACCCTATCTCTTGCATGCATGTATTTAAAGAAACCGAACCCATTGCAATAAGTTGTTTGCATTGTGTGTCTTTTGTCCACGCGTGCGCCGTACATAAAAGGTTATATATTCTACGGTGTGTAACTCATAATGTAGTCTACATTTTCATATACATCTGACATGCAATATAAAGTATGGACACAAGTGGTCTATGGAATATAGCTCAATCTGTTACGGTGTGTGTCCTCGTAATAACTCAACTCCGAACAGTGAATGCCTACAGAAGCTAAAGCGTGATACACAAGGGAAAAGCACGCCAAACGAGGGCATTACACTATCCTTCCCTATTTGGTATCATAATGGTATACCTTAAGCTCTTAATGCAAAAAACATAACGAATATATTATCTTTATGATCTAGTAATTCCTTGTAACGGCAGGGGTATGACATTTAATCTGTCATCAACCAGGCATTTAGGAGCTCTTCGCTTTAAACCAGGGACCAAACGTGTATACGATTTGCTCAAGAAAGAATAATTTACAATAACGATGGATAGTGGGTATGGTGTATTTCCGGAGGTGGGTTAAGGGAAAGAAATCTACAGAAGAGGAGCGATTCTGGTCTATACCTTAAAAAGTATAAAAGGTAGGAAAATAAAAATGGAAGAAGGCAGAGAAGTGTATTCTACATCCTCCTAATTATGTTGAATTTGTTAGACGTGGGTTGGATAAACGTAGTTTCTTGACAGGCTAATTACAATATTCCGTATTCCACAAAAGTCGCATTATGTTTTTTGTTATCACAGTATGTTCAGGGTTGTCTGTAGTCAAGAAGGGATTATGTAACTACGCGAAGCTTTTGTAATTGCAGTTATTATGTGAATTGATTCGCAGTGTATCGTGTTTGCTTACCAGCACCTGTTACACGCTGTCAACCGCCAACTGAAGCAAACAAAATGTTAATATTCATCCTAAGGCAGGTTTCATGAAGCATGTAATTTCTTATAATTTAATAACTACGTACTCATCAAAAG